GGGAGGGGGACTTGATAGGGGAGGGGGAGGGAAAGGGGAGGCGGCGGTGGGGAAGAGACAGAAATCTTTAATAAATAAATAAATTAATTAAAATAAAAAAAATAAAACAAGGGAAAAAAAAACACGTTTTACGGTAGGAAACTTCCTTGAGGGATTTTAAACTTGAGGCTGGAAATGATGGCGCCCTGAGCCCTGCTCCTCTCAATCCATGTTTCTCTGTTCTCCATCCCCATGAGAGGTCTCTGTAAAAACTTTAGGTTGGGTCAGCTCATAGTAATAGACAGACAAATGGTAGAGCATAATCTTAGCACATGGAATACCTTGGGTGTGATCCCCAGCACCATTCCCCACCCCCCCAAAAAAGGTTTGGAAAGCCATAGATTTATTCAACACCCATGAGGTTTGCCTCTCCTATATTACAGCCCCCCCCAAAGGTCCAGCAAACATATCAATGGTATATTCACCACTGATCTTCTCTACTTCAGGACTAAGTACTGCCTGTTAAAATCCGCATGCCTCTGGAATACGGCAGAACAGTGTTCTGCTGAGGCTTCAGATCTAAAGGAAGAACCAGCAGATCTAATTCCATTCCTCTCTGCTGCTCAACTAAACCCAGAGTCCAAGGAGGAGATGATACAATAGAAGTCTGCGTCACCTAGAGAAGCAGTTGGTCTGGCCTGTGGACAGGAGAGGAGGGGTAATGCAGCAACTGCACAGCTAAGGGTTACCAAGACAACTGAGCACCTATACCCAGGGGACTATGTCAAGGACAAGGGCAGACAATAGCAAGACACTACCCATCCCCAACCCTCTTGAACTATAACTGTGAAAACACACAAACAAAAAGAGAGAGAGAGAGAGAGAGAGAGAGAGAGAGAGAGAGAGAGAGAGAGAGAGAGAGAGAGAGAAATGACCAGGGAAGTGAGACTCACTGAAACAAGTAGTGTCAGCACAGCCAGGGAGCCAGCTAGGTGCCATGATGTCCAAGCCAAGACAAGAAGACAACTGTGACCCAGGCTGTGAGGACAACCAGGGCTCCTGGCACCGTGCCCTCCACTCCTGTCCAGCACAGGCACGTGCCACACAGGCAGACAAGTTAGGAAGCCAACAGCCCTTGAGCTTTAATTTAATTTTATTTTTTCATACGGGCAGTAGAGGGTGGTGTTACCCCACCCTTACTCCCCTTGCATTGACTGTGCCTCGGGTCGTGAGACCCCAAATTGTCAGAACTTACTCCCAGGGCAGGAAGAAAGCATTGCTGATGGTGTGCTGGGGGAGGGCCCCCAGCCATGAGCCAGGTTAAGCACCCCTCAGGAGCTCTCCGAGGCCCACTCCTTTAAGCCTTTCACAGACAGCAGAACAAAGACATACAGCTGGGACCAGCCCCTTCCTTTGGCATGGTTCACCCTAGCCCTGGGGACAGAGTCTGAGGTGATGGCACGAGGCCTGAGCTCTGGAATGGCCTGTGAAGGAAGCTCCTCTTACTACCTCACACATCCACTCAGCACTTGAAGACTGAGACTGGCAGAGTAACAAGGCTAGACAAAGGAAAACTAGGTCCACCTTCAACCAATCTTCCCAGTGGGGAGCCTGGGGAAGGAGCTTCAAGCTCTGGTCTTGGGTCATCTTGGGAGAGAAAAGGTGGAAGAGGGTGAGCTTGGCGATTGGTCCTAGGCATAGGAGATAGTCACACTCTTCCGACTAGAAAAAAAAAAATGAGGGGTCAAAAAGCACCATCGCCTTCCAGGAGGGCCCGGACAGTCCTGACAGGACGCTGAGAGGTCTGCTCTGAATTAGGCGAGGGTATGAGGCTGCCTCTTTGAGCTCTCCGCGTTATCCTGGACTATATTCAGCTTTCCTGGGAGCACCTCCTGCTTACCCCTCGACGCCTGCCACTTTCCCAGGAGGTGCCGGCTGATCCAGCTCCTGCGCACTCCCAGAGTCTGGGCTCCAGCCCCAGGAGAAAGGTGAGCAGACCCCAGCCCCCTCTTCAGTTGGCCTTGCTCAGTCTGTAGTCCGCCACCGGCTCCCGACTCTCGACGGCTGACAGGGCAATGAGCATCTGGGCAGCATAGTAAGTGGACATGATGAGCGCCCGGGAGCAGGGCACAGGGAAGCAGAACTTGTCGAGAGCGATGGTCAGGTCTGAGACGATGAAAAGCAGCGCTCCGCTGCCGGCCGCCAGCTCCGTCCATCGCCAGGCTGCGCCAACCAGCCGCAACCCGGCCATAGCTCTCCAGCCCATGAAGCTGATGAGGGCCACATAGACCCCTACCAAGTAGGTGACGGCACCTGACAGTCCTGGGTAGAGCAGAGCATAGCACAGCCCGGACAGCAGTGCAATCACCAGACCTGTCCGGAGAGCCAGCGGCCGCATGCCAAAGGCCGAAGCGTAGAGTATGTGTGTCACGGCAAACATCAGCAGACCTGGAAGAGGGAGGGGATAGAGAATGCTAAAGGCAGGCTCGGTGACCAATGAGTACCTGTGTGAAGGGAATGGGACTGGGGATAACCTAGCAGCTTTGCTCTGGGAATAAGAGGGGGGTAAGGAAGACCTATAGTTTTAAAT